ATGAACGGCTCATATCTTACTCCTCTCTACTATATTGCTACCACATTAGCCATTCCCCAACTCTCTGGTAGTTCACCTCTTTCTAGTGAGCTCCACAATGCTACACCAGCCTCTCTCAGTATCCATGGTGAGATCTTGTCCGGGTTTGTGACATTTATCACATCCACCTCCTCTTCTTGTTTCCTTACTTCCTTTGGAGTAAACGAAGTAAGAGGCAGAAGTTCTCCCAAGAAACCAGAAGTTGTCCCAAGAAACCAGAAGTTGTCCCAAGAAACCAGAAGTTGTCCCAAGAAACCAGAAGTTGTCCCAAGAAACCAGAAGTTGTCCCAAGAAACCAGAAGTTGTCCCAAGAAACCAGAAGTTGTCCCAAGAAACCAGAAGTTGTCCCAAGAAACCAGAAGTTGTCCCAAGAAACCAGAAGTTGTCCCAAGAAACCAGAAGTTGTCCCAAGAAACCAGAAGTCCTCCCAAGAAACCAGAAGTTGTCCCAAGAAACCAGAAGTTCTCCCAAGAAACCAGAAGTCCTCCCAAGAAACCAGAAGTTGTCCCAAGAAACCAGAAGTTGTCCCAAGAAACCAGAAGTTGTCCCAAGAAACCAGAAGTTGTCCCAAGAAACCAGAAGTTGTCCCAAGAAACCAGAAGTTGTCCCAAGAAACCAGAAGTTCTCCCAAGAAACCAGAAGTTGTCCCAAGAAACCAGAAGTTGTCCCAAGAGCCAGAAGTTGTCCCAAGAGCCAGAAGTTGTCCCAAGAAACCAGAAGTTGTCCCAAGAAACCAGAAGTTGTCCCAAGAAACCAGAAGTTGTCCCAAGAAACCAGAAGTTGTCCCAAGAAACCAGAAGTTCTCCCAAGAAACCAGAAGTTGTCCCAAGAAACCAGAAGTTGTCCCAAGAGCCAGAAGTTGTCCCAAGAGCCAGAAGTTGTCCCAAGAGCCAGAAGTTGTCCCAAGAGCCAGAAGTTGTCCCAAGAGCCAGAAGTTGTCCCAAGAGCCAGAAGTTGTCCCAAGAGCCAGAAGTTGTCCCAAGAGCCAGAAGTTGTCCAAGAGCCAGAAGTTGTCCCAAGAGCCAGAAGTTGTCCCAAGAGCCAGAAGTTGTCCCAAGAGCCAGAAGTTGTCCCAAGAGCCAGAAGTTCTCCCAAGAACCAGATCTAATTTCAGTTTGAAAACATGCTGGGAGCTTTTCTTTAATACTTGACACACGTATTGAATCCCGTTGTCTAGATTTGTTGCTCCTTAAATTATACAATTGTTTGGGCTAACTAGAAACGTGCGAACCCAAGCAAATGTCAATATTACGATGGTTCAGTTTATATTAACACGTGGCATATTTAACGTATTCGTCGATTCCATAAATACTGGGACGTTACAGGCGAGAATGTGTGTCCTTGAACTATTTGTGTAGCCTCGTCACTTGATCACACAGTACCATCTGTTGTAGCCGAGTAGTAAGCTTGCGTTGGTCCTTGGCCTTGCTTGCTATGTCTTTCTCCTCCTCCTGCTGCGTGTCCACTGCTCTCTTGAGCTCCTGGGTATTGGTTCCTCTTGTATAGGAGGAATGTGTTGCTCTGGATCTGTGCTGTCTATATTTGGTCCGTTATTGGGGTTTGTGCCTGCATGTGTTGTGCTGCCAGTCATGGTCAGGTATATTTCTTGCCTCTTTATCTCTTGAAGGAGTGACACGGGTCTTCGTGTGTGTGTGTGTGTGTGTGTGTGTGTGTGTACGTACTCACCCAGTTGTGTTTGCGGGGGTTGAGCTCTGGCTCTTTGGTCCCGCCTCTCAACCGTCAATCAACAGGTGTACAGATTCCTGAGCCACAGGAATGTGTGTGTGTGTGTGTGTGTGTGTGTGTGTGTGTGTGTGTGTGTGTGTGGGTGTGTGTGTGTGTGTGTGTGTGTGTGTGTGTGTGGGGGTGTGTGTGTGTGTGTGTGTGTGTGTGTGTGTGTGGGTGTGTGTGTGTGTGTGTGTGTGTGTGTGTGTGTGTGTGTGTGTGTGTGTGTGTGTGTGTGTGTGTAACTGGTATTCTTACTGTAATATATAATTGCAAGGACGGAGGCTGGGCTCGGCGTCTTACACAAAGGAGACAAGTGGTTACGTCATAATTAATCTAATGCTGGACCCACTTATTTGACCCCTCCTTCCTGCCCCCTCCCCCCCCCAGCCTCTCCAACCACACCAACCCCTCAACCCCCTTCAAACCCCCCCATCCCCTCCACCCCCTTCAACGCCCCCCCCCCCCAACCCCACCACACGCACACACCATCTCTCCTTTCTCTTTCAAAATCTGCCGCATTGGTGTTAGCACCAGTTGTATTGTCTGGGGTTTGGATATTCGTACAGAAGCTGTGAGGAAAAAAACACCTTTCATGGTGTTTAGTGGGTTGTTAAACATAGCCTCGTACAGATGGTTTAAGGTTTCACTTTGTCGTCCTGTGTGTACGAACCGACATTTGTAAGTGTAGGTCCAATACTGGTGGAGTTTTTGTTATTTTGATTTCACATATGTGAAGAAATATATTGGATTGTTCTTTACCTCTTATATGGCTCTGTTCCAATTGAATTTGTTTAGTCTGGTATAATTGCTCTAGTTTCCGCTCTATTTTTCAATCTCCTTGTTTAAATTACTTTCTGTGTTGGGATAATGGTGTCTGCTCCGTGATTATTTTCCCTTTTCAGTGGAGTCGTCTGCGTTCTCTTTCTAAGCTGGTCAACTTTCTCACCTTCCGCTAAGAAACACGTTTCTAGCAGACTTTGTCTATGCTTCGCCAGTCACTTGTTCCAGTCCATCTTCAAGAATAAGTTGTCCTTGTTCCTCAACAACCCGTTCTCGCACTTGCTTATAGTCAATATTGGCTTATTTAATAAGTGCATATGTGACATACTAATTCATTGTGAATATTTTAGTTCACCTTGAAAAGCTTCATAGAAAACACCGACCTCACCTAACCTTCTTAGTATGTCAAGATAAGCATCTTATTGCTTCTTAATTACAATTATTACTTAACCCATACCGTTGATAGGTTAAGTAATAATTGTAAATACGAAGCAATAAGATGCTTATCTTAACATACTAAGAAGGTTAGGTGAGGTCGGTGTTTTCTATGAAGCTTTTCAAGGTGAACTAAAATATTCACAATCAATTAGTATGTCACATATGCACTTATTAAATAAGCCAATATTGACAGAAGGCAAGTGCGAGAACGGGTTGTCCTCAAGACGGTTCTCCATTGAATGTTTCCAAGTTCTATGTTTATTTCCCGCAGTCAATCATCTTATTATTAAAATCTAATTTATTTAGTAAACCCCATCCTCTCACTTCGTAATTTTTGGGGTCATTACGAGTTCATTTGAACTTGACTGAGGTTGTGATCTGAGTGTATGGTGTCTGAGTGTGTGGTGTCTGAGTGTGTGGTGTCTGAGTGTGTGGTGTCTGAGTGTGTGGTGTCTGAGTGTGTGGTGTCTGAGTGTGTGGTGTCTGAGTGTGTGGTGTCTGAGGGGTTCGTGTCCCCCTGATTATTTCTTCATTGTTCGTGAAGGTCAGCTCTACAATATTCTTGTTCCTCGTTGATTCTGTTATCTACTGATAACACATAACCGCTGATGGGCTGGTTGAACACACAATTATCGTAGAATCTAAGTAGATCTCTGACCTGTGGTTTGGTTATTTCCAGATTGATTACCTAGTATAATATTATTGCTTGCTGTTCTCCATCTTAGTCGAGTCAGGTTCATGGAAATTAACTTGAACCTGCTATCTTAGACGAGGCAGGTTTGGGGATATTGGGTTTGCCAGATTATTCATGTTATTCACTTACATATCTGTTCCGTGAATTCCTCAACCGTTGCATATTAGAATAATAACTAGATTTATTTTATCTTCTTCTACAAGTACCTCTACCACCTCACTGTAACAACCAGTTCCTCCCTCCAACAACCAGTTCCTCCCTCCAACAACCAGTTCCTCCCTCCAACAACCAGTTCCTCCCTCCAACAACCAGTTCCTCCCTCCAACAACCAGTTCCTCCCTCCAACAATCAGTTCCGCCCTCCAACAACCAGTTCCTCCCTCCAACAACCAGTTCCTCCCTCCAACAACCAGTTCCACCCTCCAACAACCAGTTCCGCCCTCCAACAACCAGTTCCGCCCTCCAACAACCAGTTCCTCCCTCCAACAACCAGTTCCTCCCTCCAACAACCAGTTCCGCCCTCCAACAACCAGTTCCGCCCTCCAACAACCAGTTCCGCCCTCCAACAACCAGTTCCTCCCTCCAACAACCAGTTCCTCCCTCCAACAACCAGTTCCGCCCTCCAACAACCAGTTCCGCCCTCCAACAACCAGTTCCTCCCTCCAACAACCAGTTCCTCCCTCCAACAACCAGTTCCTCCCTCCAACAACCAGTTCCTCCCTCCAACAACCAGTTCCTCCCTCCAACAACCAGTTCCTCCCTCCAACAACCAGTTCCGCCCTCCAACAACCAGTTCCTCCCTGCAACAACCAGTTCCGCCCTCCAACAACCAGTTCCTCCCTCCAACAACCAGTTCCGCCCTCCAACAACCAGTTCCTCCCTCCAACAACCAGTTCCGCCCTCCAACAACCAGTTCCTCCCTGCAACAACCAGTTCCGCCCTCCAACAACCAGTTCCTCCCTCCAACAACCAGTTCCTCCCTCCAACAACCAGTTCCGCCCTCCAACAACCAGTTCCGCCCTCCAACAACCAGTTCCGCCCTCCAACAACCAGTTCCGCCCTCCAACAACCAGTTCCTCCCTCCAACAACCAGTTCCGCCCTCCAACAACCAGTTCCGCCCTCCAACAACCAGTTCCGCCCTCCAACAACCAGTTCCGCCCTCCAACAACCAGTTCCGCCCTCCAACAACCAGTTCCGCCCTCCAACAACCAGTTCCTCCCTCCAACAACCAGTTCCTCCCTCCAACAACCAGTTCCTCCCTCCAACAATCAGTTCCGCCCTCCAACAACCAGTTCCTCCCTCCAACAACCAGTTCCTCCCTCCAACAACCAGTTCCGCCCTCCAACAACCAGTTCCGCCCTCCAACAACCAGTTCCGCCCTCCAACAACCAGTTCCGCCCTCCAACAACCAGTTCCTCCCTCCAACAACCAGTTCCGCCCTCCAACAACCAGTTCCGCCCTCCAACAACCAGTTCCGCCCTCCAACAACCAGTTCCTCCCTCCAACAACCAGTTCCTCCCTCCAACAACCAGTTCCGCCCTCCAACAACCAGTTCCGCCCTCCAACAACCAGTTCCTCCCTCCAACAACCAGTTCCTCCCTCCAACAACCAGTTCCTCCCTCCAACAACCAGTTCCGCCCTCCAACAACCAGTTCCTCCCGCCAACAACCAGTTCCGCCCTCCAACAACCAGTTCCGCCCTCCAACAACCAGTTCCGCCCTCCAACAACCAGTTCCGCCCTCCAACAACCAGTTCCGCCCTCCAACAACCAGTTCCGCCCTCCAACAACCAGTTCCGCCCTCCAACAACCAGTTCCGCCCTCCAACAACCAGTTCCGCCCTCCAACAACCAGTTCCCGCCCTCCAACAACCAGTTCCCTCCACCATGATCCAACTGTGGACATCAAACATATATAAAGTCAGTGAGACACATTAGCTTTCCGTCCGTGTGTCACCGTCCACGCCTCGAATACCTTAGTGCCGTACCAGGCTGTGTCGGGCCCCGCCCCGTGTCATGTGTCAGGCCCCGCCCCGTGTCACGTGTCGAGCCCCGCCCCGTGTCACGTGTCGGGCCCCGCCCCGTGTCACGTGTCGGGCCCCGCCCCGTGTCACGTGTCGGGCCCTGCCCAGTGTCATGTGTCAGGCCCCGCCCCGTGTCACGTGTCGGGCCCCGCCCCGTGTCACGTGTCGGGCCCCGCCCCGTGTCACGTGTCGGGCCCCGCCCGTGTCACGTGTCGGGCCCCGCCCCGTGTCACGTGTCGGGCCCCGCCCCGTGTCACGTGTCGGGCCCCGCCCCGTGTCACGTGTCGGGCCCTGCCCAGTGTCATGTGTCAGGCCCCGCCCCGTGTCACGTGTCGGGCCCCGCCCCGTGTCACGTGTCGGGCCCCGCCCCGTGTCACGTGTCGGGCCCCGCCCCGGGTCACGTGGTGATCCCACAGTAGCACCCTGGGATCGGCGTGTGAACCAGCCACCATCTCAGTGATCTAGCAACAAGGTCATGCACCCAAGCCTCCGCCCTCTCCCTTCTCTCCCACCCACTGTGGGAGGGTCGGTGGGTCGGCCGGGTGTGCTTGCAGACTGTATATTGTTAGTGTCAGAACGTCTTTGACGCAGTACCCTGTCAGAGACTGTTGTACAAGTTGGAGAAGTAGGCAGGAGTGACAAAGGAGGTACTCTAGTGGATAAGGGAGTACCTAAGCAGTAGAAGACAGCGAGTCATTGTGAAGGGTGAGGACTCACCGGAGTCCCCCTGGGTCAGTACCAGAGTTTATCCTGTTTTCCATATATGTAACTGACCTTCCAGAGGGAATAGAATCATTCTCAGATATTTTTTGAGGGTACAACAATGACGAGGAAGATTAAGACAGGACGGTAGCAGAAGACTACAAGATGACCTGGGCAAACTTAAGCTCTAACATAGTGGCTACTTGAATTTAACTCAAGTCCAGGGAGGGCGCAAGAGGCCGACACGAGGTACCAATTAGGCACTGAAATCTTTCAAGAATCAGGTAGAAAATAAGATCTAGAGTTGGTATCGCACCGAACCTGTACACCAGTTAATTAGCAGTTGAGAGGCGGGACCAAAGACCTGAAGCTCAATCACCACAAGCGCAATTAGCGAGTTTGCACGCATGCGCGCGTACACTCACACTCACTCACTCACTCACTCACTCACTCACTCACTCACTCACTCACTCACTCACTCACTCACTCACTCACTCTCACACACACACACACACACACACACACACACACACACACACACACACACACACACACACACACACACACACACACACACACACACACATGATCACCACTGGGGGACACCACATGATTAGTGGGGACATGATCACCACATTCAAGATTCTGAAGGGGATTGATAGGGTAGATAAAGACAGTCTATTTAACACAAGGGGAACACGCACAAGGGGACACAGGTGGAAACTGAGTGCCCAAATGAGCCACAGAGATATTAGAAAGAACTTTTTTAGTGTCAGAGTGGTTGACAAATGGAATGCATTAGGGGGTGATGTGGTGGAGGCTGACTCCATACACAGTTTCAAGTGTAGATATGACAGAGCCCGATAGGCTCAGGAATCTGTACACCTGTTGATTGACGGTTGAGAGGCGGGACCACAGAGCCAGAGCTCAACCCCCGCAAACACAACTAGGTGAGTACAACTAGGTGAGTACACACACACACACACACACACACACACACACACACACACACACACACACACACACACACACACACACACACACACACACACACACACACACAGGTGTGTGCTTGAACTCCCCTTGGGTTCTAAAGGAAGGAGCAAGAGAACTGAGCCTACCACTCTCCATAGTGTATAACAAATCACTGGCAACAGGGGAACTGCCAGATATTTGGAAAGCAGCTAACGTAGTCCCGATATACAAGAAAGGGGATAGACAGGAGGCACTGAACTACAGGCCAGTGTCCCTAACCTGCATACCATGCAAGCTGATGGAGAAGATTGTGCGAAAAAAAACTAGTGGAGCATCTGGAGCGAAGGAACTTTGTAACACAGCATCAACATGGGTTCAGGGATGGCAGGTCCTGCCTCACAGGGTTACTTGAATTCTACGACCAGGCAACAAAAATAAGGCAAGAAAGAGAAGGGTGGGCAGACTGCATATTTTTGGATTGTCAGAAAGCCTTTGATACAGTGCCACACAAGAGGCTAGTGCGAAAGTTGGAGATGCAGGCTGGAGTGAGAGGGAAGGTACTCCGGTGGATAGAGGAATACCTAAGCAACAGGAGACAACGAGTCTGTGTGAGGGGTGAAGTCTCAGATTGGCGAGACGTCACAAGTGGAGTCCCGCAGGGGTCAGTCCTCGGACCTATACTGTTTCTGGTATATGTAAATGATCTCCCAGAGGGTATAGATTCGTTCCTCTCAATGTTTGCCGACGATGCAAAAATTATGAGGAGGATTGAAACAGAGGATGATAGTAGGAGGCTACAAGATGACCTGGATAGACTGAGTGAATGGTCCAACAAATGGCTGTTGAAGTTCAACCCGAGTAAATGCAAAGTAATGAAACTAGGCAGTGGAAACAGGAGGCCAGGCACAGGATACAGAATAGGAGATGAAGTACTTAATGAAACAGACAGAGAGAAAGATCTAGGAGTTGATATCACACCAAACCTGTCTCCTGAAGCCCACATAAAGAGAATAACGTCTGCGGCATATGCGAGGCTGGCTAACATCAGAACGGCGTTCAGGAACCTGTGTAAGGAATCATTCAGAATCTTGTACACCACATATGTAAGACCAATCCTGGAGTATGCGGCCCCAGCATGGAGCCCGTACCTTGTCAAGCACAAGACGAAGCTGGAAAAAGTCCAAAGGTATGCTACTAGACTAGTCCCAGAACTAAGAGGCATGAGTTATGAGGAAAGGCTGCGGGAAATGCACCTCACGACACTGGAAGACAGAAGAGTAAGGGGAGACATGATCACAACCTACAAAATCCTCAGGGGAATCGACCGGGTAAACAAGGACGAACTTTTCAACACTGGTGGGACGCGAACAAGGGGACACAGGTGGAAGCTGAGTACCCAAATGAGCCACAGAGACGTTAGAAAGAACTTTTTCAGTGTCAGAGTAGTTAGCAAATGGAATGCATTAGGAAGTGATGTGGTGGAGGCTGACTCCATTCACAGTTTCAAATGTAGATATGATAGAGCCCAATAGGCTCAGGAATCTGTACACCAGTTGATTGACGGTTGAGAGGCGGGACCAAAGAGCCAGAGCTCAACCCCCGCAAGCACAATTAGGTGAGTACAATTAGGTGAGTACAGGTGAGGACTGCAGGAAGTTACAAGACCTTGACAAATTCCAGGAGTGGTCAAACGAATGGTTGCCTGAATTCAGTCGCAACAAGTGTAAGTTAATGAAGATGGAAAGGGAGGAAGGAGACCGGAAGGCATCTACACCATACGGGGAAGGCAGCTTCAGTAATTAGAGAGAAACGGATCAGGGAATGGATATAATTCCAACACTCACACCAGAGGCGCACACAAACAGGATAACATCGGCAGCATATGGCACGCTGGCAAATAAATGAACATCATTTAAAAACCTGAATCAGGACTCCTTTAAGGCAATATATATATATATATATATATATATATATATATATATATATATATATATATATATATATATATATATATATATATATATAATACACATTTGTTTCACAAATACTGGAATACGCATCACCGGCTTGGAATCCGCACCTTGTGAAGCATAAAGCCAAAACTGAAAAAAATACAAAAGTTTGCCACAAAATTGGTGCCAGAGCTAAGAGGATTAAGGTATGAACATAGGCTAATGGAACTAAATCTCACAACTCTAGAGGATAGACGGAACAGCGGGGATATATAATCACAACAACCAAGATACTGAGAATAGATAAGGTGGACAAGGACAGCCTCTTCAGACTGAGAGACAGCAAGAGGACACAGGTGCAACTTGCTTACTACTCGTCTCGTATCCTGTACAGGTAGTTAGCAAGTAGAATGCTTTACAAGAAGAAATTTTGCCACCTCCATCCACAACTTCAAGGGCAGATTCAACAACGCATTTGAAAGTCAGAATAATTAAATTATAACGCATCAGGTTCAAGGCTAGAAGACGGGGCATATATATATATATATATATATATATGCAAGGACCAATTTGCCTAATATATATATATATATAGGTAGGGTTGGTTATATATCTACGTTAATTTTAACTATATATATATATATATATATATATATATATATATATATATATATATAATATAAATCGGTCGCACGTGCTCACTACTTAAGTCAGTGTTGAAGTCACCGGGGATGCCTCCCTGGAGTACTATAGTGTGTGCATGTTCCCAGCACGCGTGAGTGTGACAATACTGTTGTGTGTGTGTGTGTGTGTGTGTGTGTGTGTGTGTGTGTGTGTGTGTGTGTGTGTGTGTGTGTGTGTGTGTGTGTGTGTGTGTGTGTGTGTGTGTGTGTACCTGCTGCCCCTGGCCCGTGAGGTAGAGGGTGTCCTTCGTCAAGGTCGCTCCAGTATCATCAGTGATGGAATTGAGAATGATGGCCAGGAAATGTGTTGCCTGCTCACTCCCGTCTCTCCACCTGCGTCAGGAGAGACGGGGTGAGCAGGCATCACTCCCCATCCACTCTCCGACCATCGCACCCCCCCCTTTACTATCTACTTCCCTACACTACACCCCCCCACCCCTCCCAGTTCCCCGACTTTAGCCTGTCATCGTGCTCCTCCTTGTTCGCGATCTAACGCGAGACGGCTAAGACTGCCAGTCGAATTTTGAAGTACTCTTGGCATGGTGTGTGTGTGTG